CCTGCTGGTGCCTGGTCCGGGTCACCTTAGTGTGTTCTGCGTCGTCGCCGGCGTGTTTAAGGTCATCATGTCTAGTCAGAACATTGCGAATGTCTTGGTTGTTCGTGGAGTCCTGCGCCTCAACTTCGTTGATCTCTTCCTCCACCCTTTCTTGGCGGCGGCGTGGGATCCCGCTCGGTGCCTCCCCCCTTTCCCCCCTCCTGTGGACGTCACAGTTATTGCTAGTTGTACCGCCTCATCCACCTAAGTTACTTCGGTTGACCTTGACGCTGGGACCTCTCTGGCATGCGCTGGATTCAGGGGGATTCAGTTGGGAACTGTGCCTTCAAATCTTTTGATTGTACCTGCTCTGCCCTTCCCTCCTCGCCTTGGTCTACCGGCTGCGGGGTGTGCGGCGCCCCATCTTGTCCCCCAACCTAGGACAGTTATGGCTGTCGCATCGAGGGAGTGTGCCTTCAATTCCCAGCTATCGCGCTCTTACCTCCAAGCTGCTCTAACTCCATCCTCCCCCCAGCTTGTGGTTTGCAAAACCCTAAAACCCCTTTTCTCCCACAACGGTTTGTTTTCGCTGCTTGGCTTCCGACCACCTTGTGCAGGATTGCCGCGATCCTATTCGTTGCCGCCGTTGTCGCCTGTCCGGCCACCGGAGTTCGGAGTGCAAGATGTCGTTCAGCTGCCTCTTCCATGCCTCCATGCGCCACCTGCCCACCATCCGCACCCCCGCCACCAGCCACTCCGTGCGTGCTGTGTCGTTCACGCCCCGCTCCGCCCCGCCCGCCAGCTCCACGTCGCCTTCACCACCGCCTTCCTCGCCTAAGCTTGCACCACCCTCGCTGAACCTTGCGCCCCCGATCAAGCTCGCACCACCCTCACCGAACTCGGCGCCCTCGATCGAGTTCACCTTCCTGCACACCACCGCTTACGACCCTGCCAACATGGTAGCCTCAAGCTCCGTCGGGCCGGCCATGGAGGTTCTCAGCACTCAGTCACTCCGGCCTCTCATGCTGCCGTCCTCCGTCCCTGCTGCGATGCCCTTGCCGCAGTTCGTGGGCAAGTTCGTCATCGGTTGTGGGGGTGGTGTGGCGGCCAGGGGTGCGGCTGTCATCGCCTCTGGCCTGCCCTCGCCTGCTCACTGCTCTGTGCCTCCTTCACCATCGCCTCCATGCTTTGGTCTGCCACCGGCACCTCCTAGCGACAACGACGAGCCCCATGGCAAGCCGCTCTTTCTAGGCCGCGGGGTGGACGTTGGCATCGACGCGTTCTAGAGCTCGGGCAATGAGTACGAGAGTGGGGAGCTTGACAGCTCCAACTCTGATGGGTTCTCCTAGCACGAGGGCCGCGCACGATCTGCGGATGCATGGGTCTTCCCTAGGCGGGAAGAGCTCACTGAGCGCCTCTTGTTCGCCTTCATTGAGCCCTCGGTACCTGTCGCCGAGGTGAGCGCCTTCATTCGCTCCACCTTGCACTCTGTACCGCCTCTTCTTTCGGTCGACCTCCTTCCCTCAACTAGGGGTGCCATGGTCCTTCGTTGTGGCTCCGTGGCGGAACAAGACTCCTTGCGCCTTCTCAGCCCCATCAATGGTGATGGGTCCCAACTTTTCCTTCAAATACTGGAAGAAACCTCTAATTGTTTCTATCGTACCTCAACCTGGCTTGCCTTCGTTGCTATTGCTGATTTCCCTAATGAGCATTGTTATGAGAGCAAGATCAACGAGTGCTTTTGGGGTTTCTGTGAGGCGGCCGAGATCGATCCGGCGTGCCTTACCGGTGACAACTTCGCCCTGCTCCACCTTCTTCTTGAGGTGAATGACCGCCTTGAAATTCCTTTTGAGGTCAAGATCCCCTCCAAACTTGGGGTTGGCAGGGCTGGAGCTGTGGTCAAAGTGCTTCCGATCAGGGTTTGGCCTAGGGAGTATCAGCTTGACAGTCGGGGACCTGGCATGCTTTTTCGACCCTCCACCGCCACCTCCCCAGGGTCCCAGCCTCGGGCCCATGGGGCCGTTCACTAGGGAGCAGTAGGTTCGCCTGCAGCCGCACCACTACAGCCAAATGTACCCCCCGTAGCCTGCTCCACTGAACAACCACGGCCACAACCTTCAGTACAACCTCGCTCCGCTGCCCGCAGCTCAGCCGGCTCTAGTGCTGCCTGCCATGTAGGTCCTTAGGCTTGCCTTAGCCTTTGCGTGCCTCATCACCACTCCTTCCTCCTCGGGGTGTCAATAGCACCAACAGCTCCATCTCCACCTCTGTTACCTCCAGCTTCGCCTCTGATCTACCGCTTGAGCCGGACAGCCCGGTGGCACTGCCACTGTCTTTGGCCACCAGCCTTAGCAGCCCTGCAGCTTCACCTCTTGTCACCCCCAACCCAAGCCCTCCAATCATCACCTACCGTCGCCAAAAATGCACTACCCCCCCTGACTGCTGCTCCTAAGCACCATAGCTCTCGCCTGGCTGCCAAAGCTCCGGCGAACTTCGTGGACATGACCACCCAGGCGGTCCAGTGCAAAGCACTGCTCAACTCCCTCTCCGGCTACTTTGCCACACTTTTTTTCTCGAATACGCAAGAGCATTGCATATCATTTGCATTAAGAAGGAAGAAGCAGTTTATGTTACAGGAGGCCAAAGCCGGCCCTGCCAAGAAAGGAGGTAAAGGATTACATGATGCTTAGGAACATACTGCAATGCTATGTGGACGCATTGCTATCCATCGTTTGTTGCTGCCAAGCTGGACAGACATGTCGCTCCAGCTTGAGCCCAGCGTTCTACCTCCGCTATGATAATTAAGAGGAGATCAGCTGGTGTAATAGCGGCATCTCTGAAGCAGTGCACGTTTCTTTGCTTCCATACTTCCCAGGATATTAGCGCGAAGAGTGAGTCGATGCCCGAGCACTGAGAGCCAGTCCCGTCCGTGCGAACTCGCCGCCACCATTTGATTATGGATTGGGTTGCCAGAGGGAGTACCCGACCAAATGCTTGATAGATGAGATTCAATACCTCCCTGGTGTAAGGATAGGATACGACGATGTGGTCAATCGTCTCTTGCGCATGGTCGCAGAGGTAGCACCGCTCCCTTGCTTCTAGGCCATGGCGTGGACAATCTCCGGTCCAATGCCTGACGGCGGAACGCTAACCATAAAAAGATCTTGACCCGTAATGGTGCCCAGGTCTTCCAAATCAGATTGTGGCCGCGAAATTGTATAGCGCCCTCGTGCAACATGGCGTAGGCTGATCTTGCAGTGTATGATCCACTTGGTGTCCAACGCCATATTGTTGCATCAAGCTGGTCGTTAAGTACGATGGCTTCCAATATGTCCCAGAGAGCGAGGTAGTCGGCGATGGCTGGAATTGGGAGGCCACCGGAGATCGCACAAACCCATTGGCGGTTTGTTAAACCTTCCCTAACTGTTTGGTGCCGTTTAGTTCTGGCAGGAACAAAGTGCGGTAGTGTGTGGGCGATCTCAGGAACTGACTGCCTATTAATCCAATTATCTTCCCAAAAGAGGGCACGTCTTCCGTTGCCGACCATCGTGATCGTCAAGGCTTTGAAGAACGCGTGCACTTGCGGGTCAACTTTGATCGGTAGTTGGCTCCATGCTCGATCTTGATCCGTCTTCTGTAGCCATAGCCATCTTGATTGTAAGGCGAAGCTGGCTAGTTTGAGATCTGATACTCCTAGACCGTCTAGCTCTGTTGGTTTACACACAGTCTCCCAAACGACCATGCATTTTCCTCGCACCGATGTGTCTCGCCCTGCCCAGAAGAATTTGCGGCAAATTACATCAATCTCTTTACACGCCCAAGGTGGTAGACTGTCTGCCATCCCGACATAGATGGGCACTGCGCGGAGCACCGATTTTACCTAGATGAGTCGGCCACTTCGCGCCATCAGTGATCCATGGCTGGGCGGTAGTTTCCTTGCAACAGCTTCTACCATGGATTGCAGGTGAGCCTTTGGTAGTCTCTTGGTGCTCAGAGGTAGGCCCAGGTAGCGGATCGGGAATGGCTGGACTTGGCAGCCCAAGATGTTGGCCAGCTCCTGCAAGTTGTCTTCCCCATCGAATATGGGAGTGATTGAGCATTTCGCCAAGTTTGTTTGTAATCCGGAGGCCTCACCGAAGATGCGTAGTATTTCCTTGACCGCCGTTGCCTCTTGCGCGGTTGGCCGGATGAAGAGTATGACGTTGCCACACTCAAAAAACACGTTGCCAAAAAGAACATCCTTTCCCGCAACAAGCTCCCTATCGGGGTCGCCGATCTACGCAAGCTGGTGTCCGCTGCCAGCCTGGGCTGCAAGAACGTCGATGTCGTCGGCGTGGTGACTGAGGTTGCGGAATGATCGGGGATCACCCCCACGCCTATGGCGGCTTGCGCTCCCACCCCAACGGCGGCTGGGATTTTAAAATGGCAGCGCACTTATCTTTAGCTATCTGTGGTGTACTAGCTTGTTTGATCATTTTTGTCATGTCCTTGTAATGGCCAGAACTGTTGCCATGAGCTGTTCGTCGGGTTGCGTCTGTGGTCGGTTCGGTTGGCTCGTTGAGCCAATTTGGTGTTGTAACCTTCAATCATGAATGTCAAGAATCGGTGTTTTTACATCGTGTCGTGGAACGTACGCGGTCTAGGCGACTCGGACAAATGTACCATCGTGCGCAAGGCTTTTATTGATGCAAAACCTTCCATTATCTGCATCCAGGAAACCAAACTGGCAAGCATCGATTTCTTCAAAGCAAAATCTTTTCTTCCTGCAAGCCTCTCGTCCTCCTTTGTCTTCGCTCCGACGGATGGCACCAAGGGGGATCCTCACTGCTTGGGATCGATCGCTTTTCTCCCTTCAAAATTTCTTCATAAAACCGCACACTCTTACTACTGCTTTCAATTGCAATGCTTCTAATCTTGATTTCACGATCACCAACACCTATGGGCCTTCTGATCACTCAGGATCCTTACCCTTCCTTCAAAATCTCAGGGACCTTCCACCACTTATCCATGGCTCGTGGATCCTACTGGGTGATTTCAACCTCGTCCGCTGCGCTGCGGACAAGAATAATGGCCAGATCAATGCGACACTCACCGCTGCTTTCAATGACACGATTCAGGATCTCAATATCACTGAGGTTGATCTCTTTGATCGACTCTACACATGGTCCAATAAGCAGCCTTTCCCGATCCTCGCAAGGCTTGATCGAGCCTTCACAAACAACTCTCTTAACCTTGCCTTCCCTCTTACCAGCCTTTCCACCTTGCCTCGGCCTACGTCAGATCACACGCCGCTACTCCTTTCTCTCTCACAAGCCTCCCCAAAGCTGGTTTCTTCCGTTTTGAAAACTACTAGTGATTTGCGCGCGCCCATGCGCGCGAGAAATGGCCGAAAATCTATCTGGGAAATGGCACAATGCTGACAAATAACAAATATTATAGGCGCCTAACTAAAATTGAGTCACCTAACTGACAGCTGTAATTATCAATGATGATGAGATACTATTTTCTTAGAAACAAACGATGAAGAACACAACAGCGAGCATATATTATACGTGCTGGGCAGGTAAGGTTGTCGGCCAGAGGATGACTCAGCCTCGCGAGCAGTAGGTGGGTGACAACGGGACGGAAGACCGAGGGAGAGTGGGCCTTGGGCCGAAAACAGGACGGATAGTTTTTTTTGGTCTTTTATTTTGAAACCAATTTGGAATAGACGTTTGAACACATCTTAAGTATGAGCAAAAATCACTGGTCAGAATAAAATAGACGAACATTATGTAGGTATCGTCTTCTCTAAAGATGTGTTCTATCAGTTGTATCAGCTAGCCACAGCAGCATCCATCAAGAAAGCACAATATATATAGATATTAGATGTCCAGATATGAGCTAAAGTTTACAACAGGGAGGCAACGTAGGTACCAGATGTCCAGATAAGAACTAAATATTACAGGAGGCTACATAGATGTTCAGTTTGCCAGAATGGGCAGCGGTGGATTGGCAGCCATACTGGAGGCATTCACGGGAGGGATGAATCTTTTTTTTAATTGGTACACGGCAGGGACAATGCATTCCGTTTGGCACGGATGAAAATACATGTTTATGTTGGCTTTTTGCAGTATTGTTTGAAGATCACAGCTAAAAACGAGGAAGACAATACATTAGCAGGCTCAACATGCCAATATTCGATCAGATGCCTAGAACGTCGCCTAGCTCATGTAGGATACTGTCTATCATGATATAGGTTGCTATATATTGGAGACCACAACAAATTCAGCACAGAAATAGATAGAGTAACATATAGGAGCAGTTTCTCGCTGCACTAAAGAGTCTAAACAGGATACCAAATTTAGGCTACATCAGTTTGACCAGGGAGCTAAGCAAGGACACAGCCTTCCTATTGTCGATTCGGCGACGCTAATTGTTTCGAGGTGCATGCCCGTGGAACCACGACATAACTAGGGAACATGCACAAGGCCAGCGAGAGGGCCACTAATAAACTAAAGAGTTTACATACTCATGCCCAGTTCAAGGGTCTATTAAAAGAAGTTGTTGCTGCCTGGGGGCCGATACAGGGGCCAAGCTAACAGACAGAGAATGACGGGTTAATTTCCGTTGCAGAGGATACCACGCCACCAAAAAAATAGGCAGAAGTCTTCTCTGGACGGCAGGTGTTAGTGAGCCAGTCCAACCAAAAGCATGGGAGCCGCTGAATGTACCTGCGGACAATAATGGATCTTTCTTAATTTGCAAAATCTATCGATTCCAGGGAAGAGTCAGGTTTGAAGTTAGGGGGCATGCCTTATCTAGCCGCTCTCCTGAGCGGTAGAAGGTTCCCCAGAGGAGCGGTCATCTTCAGGAGCCTGAGTCTTGTCAGACGCAGCGCTGTAAGAAGGCACACAGGAGATGGCATGGGTTATAATCTCATCTTTTCCATATTTGTTGAGATGACTTTGCATCAGAGGCAAAGAATTAGTTCTTCTGAAGAGAGGTGTACAGCATTATCACATTGTTTAGCCTTGTGTAACAATTGAATGGTGCCTTTGATTTTATATGTATGATAAAGTTCATTTAAAATAAGGAGGTACGATTTTTTCTAAATCATGAAGAAATGGCTAACAACAAGGAATAGTGAATCACATTTGAGCCATGAGATGTTCTGAAAGCTAGCAGTTGGCCTAGACTACAAGAGCATGATGACTGCATACCTTGCGCCTGCACCGTCTGGATCAGCAATGTCAGCACCAGTACCCTCTTTGAAAAGCCTACGGCGAGAGGAAGGATGGTTACTGCTCTTGGATGGGCCACTGTGGATGAGGAGCAATCAAACACAGATGAACAAACATATGGTGAATGTGTTGGAGAGGCACAGAGCAAATATATTACCTTCTAGAATGTTTCTTCGACGCCGGTGTTTCAAGGCCATCAAGCTTGGGCGGTGGAGCCTGCAGGAAGCAAGGATTGTGATCATCGCACACAAAAGCCTTGAAACAGCGCCACTAAATCTAGGTGTTAGAAGAAAGATACGTTTAAAGGGCCTGGTGAAGACAGAGTGCCATCCGGTGTACCAGCAGACAACAGCTGATGTGTATCTGCACCATCACTTGTACCCGAGGAATCACCAGATTCAGTGGCACCAAGATGGCCATGGTCTTTGTTTCCAGCATTACCACGTGCAGCATTAGTCGGAACAGCAACAGGATGGCCGTGTGCTGTCACCAGAGATGCAACATTGTAGGTCTTCTGGGCCCTGTAGTAGCTCTGACGGGTCATTGTAACTACGAAAGTGAATCTAAGAGAGACCAGCTTTGTTATATCAGGTGGATATGCATTAGCACTTGTAGATGTCCTCAGAAGTTGCTGGACAGGCTTCCCAATCATACGACGAGCAATGTCTCCAAAGCAAACCATCTTAGCTTCATCAGTGCCATCGAGGGCTATGAAACACACCTTGTACCTGTTGTCAGTTTGCATTCAGTATGTAGGTGTATCCTACTATGAGATTGGGAAGCAAGCAAACAGTGGAAGAAGCACTTACTTGAACTTGAACGATGTGTTTGAGCATGGAATGCATCTATATCCAGTACCATCTGGCACACAGGACTTGTTGCATTTGTTGCAAGATGGAAACCACCATGATGTGTTGGGAACAAGGCGTCCAATAGTGACAGTGCAGCGGTATCGATTTTGCTGTAATGTTGGGGAGAGGAATGTAAAATGGGTAGAAGGGAAAAGTGGCCATGGTAAAATCAGAATGAAATGAGGTTGCTTCTTACAGAGAATTCATATGGGTTCATGTCGTTTAGCTGTTTCAGGTTCTTCTCATCAAGCTGTGCTGGTACACGGACTTGGATCTGCTGCTGCACTGGTGCTGCGACTGACCTTATCTCAAGCCTCTGGTTGTGGAAACTGGGTGGAGACGACACATTAGGTAAAGTTGGCAAAGCGCCAAGTAAAGGAAGGGTCATGAGCTGTATTTGGGTAACAGAATGTACCTCGCATAGAACTGGTGCGCCTCTGGAATCGTTGGATTGAAATACCAACGGCATGATGTATTGCCACTTAGGTAGTAGCTGCCTGAATTTCATGGATATGATGTTCAGACTCTTGGGAATCAATAGAGGAGTGCATACTACTACTCAGCATGTACTGGACCACAGAAGAAATAGAACAGTGCTAATACCTTGGCATTGGAGACCCTAAATCGATCAATCACATAGATGCCCCCCTCATCTATGAGCGGGCTCTTTGCATGAACCTCAGGTCCAGGGATTTCACCATAGAGACTGTTGCCCTATAGTGGAAAAAAGGAAACCAGCATAAATAAATGGAGAGATACATGGACCAGTAAAAATTGCTTGGGAGCCGACCTTCACCAATGATAGACTGACCAACCTGTTCATCAAGAAGCACAAGGTCCACGTGCTGTACCGGACCGTCATCGGTCCCACCGCGATACTCCCACTTGCGGCAAACACGGACACAGATGACCGCACGCCAGTCATTAGGGCGCAAGGCGGGCAGCATCGAAAAAGCCATCGGTCGAAGCTACAGAGAATCATTTTATCAGTAAACAGAAGCAACAGGTTATAATCTTGTAATGAAACTAAGGAAAGATAAAAAAACAACCACAAAAACTGAGAACATCTAGGAATCCATTTTATAGGATGTATGTAAACCGACAGTGCACAGAGTTCTGTGAACATTCAGTGATAAAACACACGCAAAATAGGGAAAAACACACAAAAGAGTCTAAACACTAACACCATTATTAGATGGATGGTGCTTGCTGGTTATTTAGGTGGACTGTCCCCGTTGGACACACACTTCAGTGAAGCTGACTGTAAAATCATGGTTACAGCCAATACGAAAGCTGTCAGAACACACCGAAGCAAAATGACCCAAAACCAGTGTGGACACTCAATGCAAAAGGTGTCCTAACACAGCAAAAGAAAGGGAACTAAGATTCGTCCGCGGCTCGATACGCCGCGGAGAGTATTTCTTGGTAAACAATATTCTGTGTCTCATCTGTACAACCACCATCTGCACCTTCTATGAGTATCTTAAGGCCTCGCTTTGAAGTGACGCGTGAAACAGCAACATATAGCTGGCCATGACTGAAAACAGGACCTTTTAAGTATACGCCAACATGTTCTAAGGTTTGGCCTTGACTCTTGTTAATGGTCATGGCATAACAGACTTTGACTGGGAACTGGCGTCTTTCCAAAGTAAATGGCAGTCTCATATTTTTAAGTGTTAGACAAATTCTTGGTATGTGTACTATGTCACCAATATGTGTGCCGGTCATTATCTTTGCTTCTATTAACATCTCACCTATATTTGTGACAATCAGTCTTGTGCCGTTACATAGACCACCTGCTTGATCAAGGTTTCTAAGCATCATTATTGGCACACCTTTTTTTTTTTTTTTACAGAGGCGTGCTGTGGGAAATTGTTTCCATTTATTGAATTTAGAAATTCAGTAGGATACAACAGATTAAAAGAGTCATGGGTATCTGGGGATTTAGCAATTCTATCACAGCTTAGGTACTCCTTCTCTTCCCCAGGTATCAGGGACACCACGTATGAGTTAATAGTATCTGCAGCTTCGTTTGTTGGGGTCAAGATGGCCCGCGCCTGGAGGTAGTATGCATCAGCATACTTGGCACCTAGATCTGGGTAGATGGAACTAACCATAAAGGCGGCCTTATCTTCTTGTGGCATGAGCAGCAGCTCACGCGGAATTTTAATTCGTGTTCCCTGGGTCTCACTACTGGTGCCTAAACTCTCAATCTTGCCCTCACCAATATCTAGCACCCATTTGCTAAACTCAGCAATCTCTTTCTGCAACTCGCTGTCCAGGTCTTGTCTATTGAGCCTCATATTTGTAGTACGTGACAAAATCTTAACATGTTTCCATAGAGAAGAGTTTACTATCGCAGCATTGACAATCTGGGGTCTATCACCACCTGGAACCACAGGCAGAATTTGGCGGAGATCACCACCTAGAACAACAATCTTGCCACCGAAAACTAAATTCGCAGCACCTTCTGTGCGGTGTGACAAGATGTCTCTAAATGTTCTATCTAGAGCTTCAAATGCATGCCTATGTGTCATTAGAGCCTCATCCCAAATGATAAGAGATGCAGATTCAATCAACTCGCACAACTTAGAGCCACGTTTTATATCACAGACCGAAGCTTCATCTAGATCACATGGCAGCTTGAATCGTGAATGAGCAGTCCTACCCACAGGCAACAACAATGAAGCGACTCCGGATGAAGCAACAGATAGCACAATCTTTTGTTGAGATCGCATATAAGCAACTATGGATTGCCACAGAAAAGTTTTTCCAGTCCCCCGTAGCCAGATACAAAGAAAAACCCTGGTTCATTATCTAAAGCAGCTTTGGTGATTATAGTAAATGCATTAAGCTGTTCTGTGTTTAGCTTGCCAACCAAATTTTCAGCGTCACGCATTGCCTGATGACTATCATATGACAGGGCCTCTTCGATGAGTCTATTACCAGGAATATCTTCAAAATTTTTAATTTTCTCAGGCAAAGCATGTTCCCGCATTTTAGCCCCGTTTCTCTGGAAAAGAGCATGAATATCATCAAGCAGGTAGTTTCTAAGGTCCTCATCACACACATGGAATTCAGGATTACCCATATTGTCTCTAAGACGGTACTGTATATCGTCAGCTAGGACTTTCCAAACTTTTTCAAAGAAGGCACGTTCATCCTTGACCTCACAAAACAACAGCATAGTAACAAACAGTTTTCTAAGCTGTGGTGATGTTGCCCAAGCAGCGGCCTCGTCAAAGGCACTATACCATTCCTGATCATCACCAAGTAGGCCACGAGCATTACACGCCAATCTAAACGTAGAGTAGACAACGCCATTGTATGTTCTAACCTCTTCGAAACTTCTAGCGCCTTTGACCACGAGGAGCAACATTCTAAGGAAATATCTCTCACCAACTGAAGGGTGTACATAGTATAACCTCCCTATCTTACCAGAACCTCGTCGCCTTTGATCCCAGAATCTAGAAGAGCTATCCCATTTCCAACGCGAAGGGAACTCACAATATGTGAGGTCTCTACCAGCATCGCTTTGTTGGTTGGCCACAAACTATTCAGTTAACATTGTTTTACGAAGAAATTCTAATCTGGCAACATCACATAAACAATGCAGTTGTCATTTGGAAGATGCACAGGCAACCTTTGTACAGCCGGGTAGTGTCTATGTATATCGAAACCAAAAATTCGCCAACAGGCATCCTGCTCGCATATATATCTACAATCTAGGTACTCCTGAACCTCATTAATCGTTTTGGTTTGTTCATCATAGGGCGCTGGTTCACCGCTCCGTATTCTCTGTATATAAACCTTGCCACGGTCAGGACCTTTAGTAACATATTTGAATAGGTATTTAATGAAAATGCCCTTGTTACACCACTCTACATTGATATGGGCCTGGTACTTTTTAAGCAAGGTCATATTGTATGGAACAATGGAACTGCTATCTAGCCTTTTGCCACCTTTTTCAACATATCTCCTATTGTCAGATCTCCTATACAGAGCGAAGCCATTATCATCAATTACCGTTTCAGTTTGGTATTTTTTTGGAAACCATTTTGAACATTTATCTTTTTTCATACATGGACAGGTGGGGTGGCTTGCGCCACAGGGACCATGCACCAAATGCTCAGCCACCAGTACATATCCAAGAGGGTCTGTATGTGGGTCAGGAACCTCAGCACTTATGAATTTATCTATGAATGCAGGCGTTGGGTGTGAGGTATCTTGTTTGAGCCAAACAATTATAAGAGCATGTGGGAGGCCACGCTTCTGGAAATCCACAGTGTGCAGCACTAAACAAACAAATGAGAAGAACAGTCATAAAAAACAAAGATATCTAACCGTGGCCAAAAAAGAAAGGAAAATGTACCCAACAGCACAACGTACCAGCACTGACAGGCCCAAAGGCGGTGCCATCTCGTATATCACCTAGAAGCTCCTCAAGCTTCATATTGTAGACCCTAACCACTATATCTGCTCTATCAGTTGATTTCTGGCCAGGTTCAAATGACAGCGCCGCAGCAATCTCTGGCCACTTTGGATTACAGGTGAATGTCACAAAGAAATCAGGCGGGCCATGAACTCTACAGATAGCAATTCCATCATGATAATTTTGGATCATATACCGCCGGCCACCAGTATGGGAGGCCGGCAGCACAGTTTTTTTTTTCCAATCTCGCCTCCATCTACACATCCTTTATCAACCGCATCGACTATGCCCTGAAGAGTCTCTACACGCAGCTTTCCCTGATTCCTGAGCACATACCAGAGTCTATTTTCATCGATACATGCACGTGCATCAACCTTGGCCTGAGTGGACAAGGCACCATAGCACAAGAACGGATTCGACTGGCCTTTTCTATAGTGGAAACAATGGCGGTAGTAATCTTGCATCGTTACTTTGGCACGCTTGTTCTCGCCCGATGTATCTACCCCACTATAAGGCACACCGACCTGGAAACCACGCTCACTATAAGGAAAGAGCAGGGGGTACTGTAGGGCCATGAAAGCAGGATGCAAAGAAGAAATATGCTCTAAATGTCCGGATCTAGGCTGCACCACAATATCACGCTGAAAAGTATCTAGCGTAAAATCACCCACAACAAGCATGGCAAGCTGGTCAACAGTAGGAAGATTATACTGAACTGGATCCCCTCCCTTGCACCAATAAGTCTTACTATGAACTCTTCATCACCATTTTCTGCCAATCTATCTCTTGCCAGCCTAAACTGTCTAGCCAATGGGTTGTGGTCATCTAGCATCTTGACCAAACGTTCAGCTATCTTTGGGTCGAGAGACTCAGACGAGCGTTCATCTGGGTGCAGCGCACAGAACCTATTCTTCACCTCGTTCGCTGTATCATATATATAGCTGCAAGAATTTCGGTGAGTTGCCATTGGCTGGAAGAAGAGGTCCTATACGATGATGAACCTGGCCAGACACTTTGAACACAGGAGGGCCACGACCATTATTCATAGATCTATCAATGTTTGCACCCATGGATGTGAAAGCAAACAGGCAATTGTACTGGCGTATATTCTTTATGAACTGTCTACAATTAGCATCACCATCAAATCTGGCCAGCGAAGCAATGGGTTCAGGAGGGTCTCTAAAAGGAGGTATTACTACTTTGCCACCCCTACAGCATGAATTGTAAATGACCCTGCCATCTCTTAAACTGGACTGACCAGCAGCACACTCACGCAACCAAAACATGGCACCACAATGTCTACACGTATAATCTGGCGCCCCATAAGACGAACGACCGACATAGGAATCTAGGCACAGGCGTGGGCCACCCCAAAGCATCCGCGAGCACGAAGGACATGAAAATAGACACAAAATCAGCGAGAGGATGGCATTTAGTAACCTAGAAAAACAACAGTGAACCTAGCAAAAAAAATTAAGCCAAACCTTTAAGCACATCAATATACTCTTGGGTGAAGTGACCACACCCGGATGCACCAGCGCCATCTAAAGGGCCTAATAAAGCAAAACCGTGCCAACATAGCAGGCGTATCTAAAGAGAAACCAGGTAGGATGGCGACCTAAAGAGTGAACACCTGACTTGGCAATCTTCTTCTGGTTTAAATACTTCCTCTGCTTATTCCGACACTCAGCAGCTGGGAGCGTGCTGGGTATATAGTATGCACCCTCCGCTATAGGAAAGTGACACTTAAGTATCCAAGACCAACATGGCTTGTAGACTAAATAGAACACGGGAAGCACGGCAAGAAACACGTACACTGTCTCTTGCGGGGAGCAGAGCTCGAAGGGGCAGTTATCCGTGAAGAAGCTAGGGAGGTCAAAAGCAACGAAACAAATAAGAGATGCTTCAATGGTCTGACCAATGGGCTATAACCGTGAAGATTACCAAAAGAGCAGCACAGACACATACACGACTCTCCAGGAACAAGGCGAGATGCAGGACGTGCACGACGACTCACCATCTGGGACCAACTACAGCAAACGTCAGAGAAGGCCGATCATGTGACAAACTGCAGCACCTGGCTGTTAAGAAAAGGAAAGCTCCAAAAGAGCTCTATGGCCTATGGCAAGCTCCAAAAGAGCTCCAAAAGAACCCGTACATCTTCTGCAGGAAACCTATGGCCTGCAGGGCAGCCTGCTCATAACCAGAAGCGCAACAATCTTCCATGGACGCCCAGAAGAAAAAGCTACGACAGCGCCGGACCGGGCCAACACAAGGTAAATCTAGCTCGACGCCGTACAGTGGCGTTCCATCTCTGGTAAACTCAGTAACCATTGCTGCATACGGCAAGCCACACCGGACCACCACACCCTGCAGCAGCGACAGGTAGGACGCACCCACAACGAATATTGATCCGTCTTCCCTCTGTGAACCCGAGCACGGGAAACAACAAACAAGAATCGGAAAGGAGGAAAAAAAGAAAACACACCGACCACAAGACCACACGGCGCAACATGTAAGCATTTCGGCCATTGAAAGCGACAAACGAATCAAGGAAGAAAGGTACAGGCGAGAGTGCGGAAAAGGGGTATACCAACACACCGAGGACGCAGCCTGTTGTCGCCCAGTCGCCGGCGGCACTCCCACCTGGCAGCCGCACGCCCCAAGACCTCGTCAGTAGCCCGCTCCCAATGCCGCTGCGCTCCGCCTCGTCAGCACCCCGCCGGTGGATCTGGATCTGGCCCCAAGCACCTGCAAATCATACGCAGTGCGGCGGCACCACACGGCACAGCGGCGGCGCCGGGTACCCACCGGATTAGATGGTTCCGCCGGTAGAATAGAGGAGGAGGAGGAAAGGGAAAGACGGCGATTCCCACACCTGAGGCAAACGGCAGAGTTCGGAGCGGAAATCGAGAATGGAGGCTGAGGAGCTCTTTTATCGTCGCCGTTCGTCCCTTCGGAGCGGGCTGGGAGACGCTGTGGAGTTCGGAGCCGTGCGAAGGAGGAGGAAGCAGGAGACGCTGCATGCGAAGGAAGCCGGCCCCACCGGCAGCGGCACAGGGTCGGCAATCGCAAGCGCCGCTGCATATTCCCAGTCCCACTGAACCCAGCCCAAAAGTACCGAGAAACCCGGCACATGATCTAAGAAGCTGACCAGTGGACCACCTAGTGCTAAGCCAATAAGCAGACGACAACGAAAAAAGAGCCCCGTGCAAGGTCCATACCGTGGAGGCCCAACTGACGTGCGGAGGCCATGCCGTGGGGGCCGACTCGCAGCGTAGCAGCAACTGCAGCGGCAGGCGCGCGCAGGCAACCGGCAGATGGACCCAGCGCCTTCTCGCCAATGAGCACACGACAGCGGCCTGAGGCACCCAATCTGGCGACAACAACGGACTGGCCACTGACCGCACAGCCGGTTCGCTGAACAACGGTTTTGGGCAGACGGGCAAAACGGCACAAGAACCGCAGATCACGAATCAGACGGCTAAAAAAAATTTTGCTACCGTGGACATGCTGACCTTACGAGCTGGCCACAACGAATTTACAGTTTAAATTGGCTGCACTATCAAAACTTCCTACCCTCTGTCCTCGCGGGTTGGCAGCAGGCTCCGGTTTGTGCGGATGTAGCTGGGCAGCTGGCCGCTTGCATCAAATCGACGACAGCGGCGGCAAAGGTTTGGTCTCGGTGTACAAGGGCACCAATCCATCTTATACATAACTGTCAATTCCTAATTCAGCTATTTGACTTCTTCGAAGAGACGAGACTGTTGTCATATGAAGAGTTTCAGGTTCGGAGAAATGCACAAAAATCATTGCAGCAAGCACTCAAGGCAAGGGCAGCCTATTGGAAGCAGCGGAGCAAGCACAAGGCCATTCGGGAAAGCGACTCCAACACTGCTTTCCATCGCGCACAGGCAACTCAGCGCTTGCGCCGAAACTACATCCGTATGGTGCGCGTGGATGGAAGGGAGGTGGTCAACCACGATGGGAAGACAGCCGCCCTGACTGAATAATTCAGATCGATCATAGGGGTGGCGGGTGCTTCCGTGCCGGCAGATCTTGAAAGCATATATGACGGGAGGAGCAGCCCCAGCAGCAGCCTTACGGATCCATTCACTGAAGCTGAAACCAAGCTTGCGCTGCTCTCTATGAATAGAAACAGCGCCCCGGGGCCGGATGGATTCGGCCCGGCGTTCTACAAAGCAGCATGGACAAATGTCAAGGTGCAGATCATGGAATTCATGGCGGCTTTTCACCGCGGCGATGCTGACCTTGAGAGAATCAATCGTTCTCACATGGTGCTCATCCCAAAGAAGCCTGCTGCGGTGGATGTCGACGCATTCAGGCCTATCTGTCTGCAAAACTGCAGCCTCAAGATCCTTTCAAAAGTTCTAACCAGAAGGCTACAAGATGACATTCCAAACCTTATTGACCTCAACCAGACGGGCTTCATCAAGGGAAGGTCCATCTCGGACACCTTCGTCTATGCAGTCGAGTTGGTTCAGGTCTGCCATAAGAGGAGAAGGCCAGCAATTGTGCTTAAACTTGATTTCGCCAAGGCCTTTGACACGGTGAACTGGGACGGGATGTTCAGAGTGATGCGGGCAAGAGGATTCAGTGAGCGGTGGATCGGCTGGATGAATACAATTCTTACTTCCTCCAAGTCGGCGGTGCTTGTCAACGGATGTCCGGGGCCATGGATCACTTGTAAAAGAGGGCTGCGGCAGGGTGACCCAATCTCCCCTTATTTGTTCCTCCTGGTTGCTGAAACTCTGCAGGGGTTGATCAGAAGCTGCGGCGGCATCAAGCACCCGACTGAGGAGGGACTACCATGTGCAGTGCTGCAATACGCCGACGATACCCTCATCGTGCTTAAAGGTGAACTCACAGGTGTAACCCTCCTCAAAAGCATTCTTGATCAGTTCGCATCACTATCCGGTCTACATATCAACTATGGAAAAGCACCTTGGTCCCGATTCACATGGATGAGCACATTGTCACCGATTGCGTGGAGGTCATTGGGTGCAGAAGGGAGGGCTTCCCACAGCCCTACTTGGGACTGCCGCTGTCAGTGCACAAATTACCATTGTCTGCATACACACCGTATATTCAGAAAATAGACAGGTACCTCAGCTCTTGGCAGGCAAACTTACTGAACCCAATGGGCCGGACGGTTCTGGTAAACTCGGTGCTGGATAGTCAACTGGTGTACTTTATGAGCTCCCAACAATTGCCGCCATCGGTGCTTCATCAAATGGACAGAAAGAGGCGTGCCTTCCTCTGGTCTGGGGAAAAGACAGGAAAGTCCTCGCCAGCGAGCTGCCTGGTCTCTTGGATTCAGGTTTGTGCACCCAAGGAGCTTGGTGGCCTCGGCATCAAGGACATGGGAACACAGAACATATGCCTACTCCTAAAACTCATTCACAAGCTTCACGGCCCTCAGTCTTCGGCCTGGGCTCGGTGGGTTCAAGGCCGGGCATCCTTATCAACGCTCAAAGGGGACATCCATGGGGAACATTGGGAGGTTCTGCGGTCTCTGCTGCCACTATACCAGGCGATCACCACTGTACATCTTGGCGATGGGAAGTCTTGCTCCTTCTGGCTTGATGTTTGGCATGGGGACGAGGCACTTGCCGACATCTACCCGGCATTATATAGCCACTGCACAATCAAAGATGCCACTGTCTGCGACATGGTAACCTCCGGACTACAGCAGGCGCTCGTGCCGCGGTTATCCCAGAGAACAACGCAAGATCTACAGGTTGTTGAAGGAATGCTTGCGGACGTCCAGCTGTTGGAGTCACCGGACCACCGCTCCTCAGTTTTCAGTAAGGGCGCCTCTGGGTTAGACAGTGGAGCCATCTACCGTCTGCTCAAAGCTCGCGGACATCCAAACGACGAACGGGCATCGTTTATTTGGCAGAACTCGGCGCCACCGAGAGTTCAGATGTTCATGTGGCTTCTTGTTCAGCGGCGCATCCAATGCCGCACCGTGCTACACAGGAAGCAGGTGTTGCATGATTGCACATGTGAGATCTGTCATGAGGAAGATGAGACACCTGAGCACATAATCAGTGGCTGTAAGCTCGGAAATGAATTCTGGCGAAGGCTCAACATGACCTCCATGCTTGGGACAAGTGCGGACAGCTTTCATACTCTGTCACCGCAAGGAGGGGCTCCAAGGGAAGAATTCTCAGCCTTCATCGCCCTGGCATGCTGGCACCTCTGGAAGGCTAGGAATGCGGCGGTTTTCAGAAACGAAACACTCACACTCACACAACTGTTTGCAGCCTGCAAGGCAACGGCGGAGCAATGGCGCTTCAGATTTTCCAAAAAGAAGAAGCACATTGCTGATACATGGTGTCAGATTTTCGAGATGGCAAGACAAGGGCAAGGATAGATACACTGACACAAATAGTGGTTCTCCTATCTTCTTGTTCAACATCACCTTCTTGGTGGCTTTGTAACAACAAATGTACTCCTAATATCATAAGGGGCCGTTTGGGGCCAATATAAATATATCAGGTGGGGAACGCCTCCCCCTTGACCTTAAAAAAAAAACTCCCTTATGCAATTATGTTTTTAGTTTTTGTTGCTAATGATTGTGCATTTACATCGCAAAAAAGGGATCTGCATTAACAAAATGGTACTAAATTGTAACAGTCAAGACAAGTAAATTGAAATGTTTGCTCTATTTATATGGTGTCTTTGTTAGAGCTTAGGCTTCTGAGGTTATAGTTGTGGCGGGTGGGTGGACGAGGCTTGAAGCGAGGACGACGAATAGGCGGCGCCGTGCTCGGCGCCGTCGCTCTGAGGGTTTCGCGAGAGAGGAAGGGAACATGGTTGCCCAGGGGGCCAATGGGAGATATAATCTCAATCCCTGGCTAACCTTTATTGATCCATAGAGTCTGATAGATATATGACTCAACTGAACCAACTATCCCTATCTTTTAGGACTCTGTAATCTCAACTAACCAAACTCTAATGACTATGAATCCAAACTAACCCAAACTCCCCTGGTGACCACGCCCAGCTTGGCACACGGTTGAGCCTAGCCACTACGGCGTCTATAAACTCTGCCGACCATAACATCACTCCCCCCCCTCGGCAAACAGCTTGTCCTCAAGCTGAAAGGTGGGGAATTCGGCGCGGAAATCCTCGAGCGGTTCCCATGCCGCGTCCGCTGGCAGAAGACCTGCCCACTTGATGAGCACATGCCAGACCCCGCGACGCAACTGTGCATGCAAGGCTTGATCCGGGTGGAGCAGGCGACGTCCCTGGTGAAGCGGAGGCATAGCTGGCGGTGTAGACGGTGGAGGACCTCAGAACGGCTTCAACACCCCGACGTGGAATACGTCGTGAATCCTGGCTCCGGCTGGCAGCGACAAGCGGTATGCCACCTCGCCGATGCGTTCGATGATCTGGTATGGCCCGGCAAACCGAGGGCTGAGCTTGCCGCGACGCCCAGGCAGCAGTGACTGTGTAGGACGATGAAGGATGCGGAGCCAAACCCAGTCACCCACCTGAAACTCTAAAGCACGATGAGAGCGATCATAGTGGCGCTTGGCATACGCCTGAGCTTGGAGCAGCCTGGCACGCACATCAGCTAGGAAGTCGTCACAGTTCTACAGGAGGGCGTCAACAGCATCTATGCGGGAGGACCCTGCAGTATAAGGCAGCAAGGCCAGTGGTGGTCGACCATACACAACCTGGAACGGCGATGTGCGGAGGGCTGAATGATAGGACGTGTTGTAGAAATACTCCGCCCAAGGAAGCCACTCAAGCCACGCGCGCGGTCGGTCACCTGTGATGCACCGGAGGTACATAGCTATAGTCTTGTTCACCGCCTCCGACTGACCATCCGTCTGCGGATGAAATGCTGTACTGAGTCTGAGCGTGACACCGGCAAGCTTGAAGAGATATCGCCAAATGTGGCCTGTGAACACCGGGTCCCGATCACTGACAATTGAATTGGGGAACCCATGGAGACGAACGATGCCCTCAAAGAACGCCTTGGCCACTAACATAGCTGTGTATGGGTGGCTGAGGGGTACAAAATGAGCATGCTTCGAAAATCGATCCACCACAGTCAGGATTACACTCTTTCCATGCACCCGCAGAAGCCCCTCAATGAAGTCAAGAGCTATGTCTGCCCACACCTGCGAAGGTACCTCCAGGGGTTGCAAGAGGCTGGCTGGTCGGAGGGAGGCGACCTTGTTCTGCGGACATACGGCGCAAGAGCGGACAAAATCACGGACCAGCCCGCTGTCATGCTCGATGAAGAACTCAGAACAGAGGCGCTGCAAAGTCTTCTGGAACCCCTCATGGCCTGCTGAATGAGCAAGGTCTAGCACCGTGGGCACAAGCGCCGACCCAACTGGAATGAACACCCTGTTGCCGTAAAGTATAAGCCCGTCGACCACGCGCCACGGCGCGCCACGCTGGGCGACACCCATGTCCCGGAGGGCGCGCAAGTCCGGGTTCTCCTGCACCTCTCTTCGTAGCTCATCAAATAACTCAAACGACGGACCAGAGATAGCATGAGCAGCTGCGTCGTTGTCGTGACGGCGGGAGAGAGCATCCGCCACCATGTTCAAGCTACCTAGGCGAAACTCCACTGTGAAATCATATCCGAAGAGCTTGGTCACCCAGTGATGTTGCGACGGTGTCGACAAGAGCTGGTCTAGTAGAAACTTGAGTGCGTAGTGGTCGGTACGCACCACAAAACTGTGCTCCCACAAGTATGTCCGCCAGTGTCGCACGGCCTGCACGAGGCCGATAAGCTCACGCTCATATGCCGCCAATTTCATGTGGCGCTGCGCAAAGGGCCTGCTGAAGAAGGCAATTGCACCGATGCCCTGATGAAGAACAGCGCCGAATCCCGACCCCGACGCATCGCAGTCCACCATAAAGGGCCGGTCAAACGCCGGTAGCTGCAGCACCGGCGCTGTAGATAGTGCCCGTTTGAGGGCGTCAAAGGCCAAATTAGCCTCATCCGACCAGTTGAACGCATCGCGCCAAAGAAGCTGGGTCAGGGGCACCGCGATGGCGCCGTAATCCTTGATAAACCGGCGGTAATAGCCGGCCAAACCGAGGAAACCGCGTAGGCCACGCGCCGAACGCGGTTGCGGCCATGTCTTGACGGCGTCCACCTTGCTGACGTCCATGGCCACACCGTCAGCCGAGATCACATGCCCGAGGTACGCCACTGAGGACTCGGCGAACGAGCACTTGCTGCGCTTGAGCCGCAGCCGGTGTGCACGGAGCGCTAAGAGGACTGCCTTTACATGCTGGAGATGCGTTGTCCACGATGGGCTATAGATCAAGATGTCATCGAAGAAAACCAAGACAAACTTACGCAGGTAGGGCTGGAGGACGGCGTTCATTAGGCTCTGGAACGTTGCTGGCGCATTGGTGAGACCGAACGGCATGACCAGAAACTCGAAGTGGACATGGTGTGTTCGGAACGCCGTCTTCTCGATGTCCTCTTGATGCATTCGGACCTGGTGGTAACCGGAACGAAGATCCAGCTTCGTAAAGAACCGTGCGTCGGCAAGTTCATCGAGCAGCTCCTCCACAACTGGGATGGGGAACTTGTCCTTAACCGTGCGCTCGTTCAGAGCCCGATAGTCAACACAGAAGCGCCAGGACGCATCCGGCTTCTTGACTAACAACACTAGAGCCGAGAACACCGAAGTTGACGGCCGGATAAGCCCCTGATCTAGCATGGCAGCACACTGGGCCTCGAGCTCGTCCTTTTGAAGCTGCGGATATCTGTACGGCCGGACTGCTACGGGTGGTGTGTTTGGCAACAAGTGGATGCGGTGATCACAACATCGAGCCGACGGCAGTCCCTTCGGCTCCACAAAGAGGTCGTCGAACTCCTGCAGTAGGTTCTGTAATAGGCTCGGCCCGTCTGGTTGTACAGCATGGAGCCGCGTCGACTGAACGTCATCCCGTGTGGAGCCGATCCCCCTCCAGAAGACACGGTGACCTGCCCTTGTGAAAGCTAGGCATAGGTCGTCGAAATCCCATAAGATTGGCCCCAATGTGCGAAGGAACTTAATGCCGAGGACCATGTCATAGCCATCCAACGGAATAGAATAGCAGTCCACCGTGAACACTTCATCTGCAATCCTGATGGCGACGTCTGCGGGGAGGCCGCTGCATGCGACGCAGTCTCCGTTCGCGACGAGCACGCCCGCGCCCGGGCATGGCTGGAAGTGGAGGCCAATGCGGCGACTAATGTCCGCGCGCACGAAGTTATGCGTCGACCCGGAATCCAGGAGAGCGACAAGCTGTGTATTCCCGACCTGAACGTAGAGCTGCATCGTTGTTGCTGTTCGAATGCCGGTGATGGCATTAAGCGAGATCCGCGGGGCATCGGGGTCGATCGGGGACGGTTCTGCTGGTGCTGTTGTGGATTGTACTGAATCCTCACTGTCCTCCGGCTCCTCCACAATGTAATCCGAGGCCTCCAAATAGAACAGGCGGGCACACTTGTGACCACGGACATATTGCTCATCGCAATTGTAACAGAGGCCTTGCTTGCGGCGCTCCGCCATCTCCTCCGGCGATAACTTCTTGAACGGCCGCGGAGATGGCCCTGAGGTGGCCGGTACCACGGTTGATGCTGAGGACGACGCCGTGGCGGTGGTCAATGCACGGCGCCCAGGGCGCGCCGGTGGTGCCGGTAGAGCCAGCTATTGTGGGCCATTCCGGCGTTCATACGCGCGCGCTAAGCGCATCGCCTACTGCATGTCGCGCGGATCGTGGAGCTCGACATCCACACGGATATGATCAGGAAGGCCGCCGGTGAAGAGCTGAGCTTGCTGGTCCGGCGAGAGGCGGCCTGCATGCGCTAGTCTGGCCTGGAACGCGTCCAGATAAGCTTCAACATTCGACGAGAACGGCAGCAGTGCCAAGTCGGCGAGATGGTTGGTGCTGAGGGGAGGCCCGAACCGCTGCTGACAAAGCCGTCTGAAATCATCCCATGTCGGCCGCCCGGCGTCCCGCTCGAGGACGGTATACCACATCTGGGCCTTGCCGGTCATGTGGAAGGACGCGAGCCACACCCAATCTACCGCCCGGGTCTGCTGTCCTCGGAAGAACTGCTCGCACTTGAGCAACCATCCCAACGGTATACCAGGTTGTTAGAGCTTAGGCTTCTGAGGTTATAGTTGTGGCGGGTCGGCGGACGAGGCTTGAAGCGAGGACGACGAACGCGCGGCGCCGTCGCTCTGAGGGTTTCACGAGAGAGGAAGGGGACGTGGTTGCCCAGGGGGCCAATGGGAGATATAATCTCAATCCCTTGCTAACCTTTATTGATCCATAGAGTTTGATACATATAGGACCCAACTTAACCAACTATCCCTATCTTTTAGGACTCTGTAATCTCAA